TATATATACATACATTCAATTGATTAATAAAATTACTGTTCTACATTGTTTAATATGCTGGCTTGACTTAAATCTCATTGATAATCTATCAAGTATGATATAAAGTAAGATGAGGTACACCAGACCCAACAATGCAGAGACATTAAAAGCTGACATAGAAGCAACTTAGGTGTTTTTAACACAGTACACCACCATCACTCGGTTATCAATGCAGTAATTTGTGCATTGGGAATGAGCAAATATACCAAACAGTACTGGACATAATTTTAGATAAGGCAAAGTCAGTGTAAAAAATTACTTTTATTTGTCTAATGCAATTTACATATTTTTGGAGGATCAAATAAGCCATATTAATAAAGAAATAAAGAAAGTAATATATGGAACAAAATAAATTAATGTGTAACTATAGAAATTGTTATAAAAACAAACTAACTCTACAATACCATAAATGTAGCATAAAAAAGTTGTTCTGATATTGAGACAAAAAAGACATACAGTAGTCAAAGTGTCCAAAAAAAGCTTTCCAGGAAAAAGAATCTTCTAATTCTATGTTAGCTGGCTGATTGTTTTTTTTTTTTTTTTTTTTTTATCTTCAGTTAAATTAGTCAAATGAGGGAACAGGCTGATTTAATTATGGGCTCTGCTCTTTCCTTTAATTATGCATGCAAATCTATGATTATCTACCACAGTGCAAATATTAGCCAAATTAATCTGGAATTTTTGTTGAACATCTGATTCTCTCTTTATGTAGTCAATATTGAGTGAAAAATAAAAACAATTTAAGAGGCCAAATTTTTAATATGATAAAACAGAGACAGATAAAGAGTTGGTAATTGGAGACAACAAAGAAAACAATAATGGCTAATTTCAAGACGACGAACACCAAATGTCAAAGCATTCAACAGCATCTCTCTCATTTTACTGTCAAAAGATAATTAATCTAAAAGTCGAGGTCTCGCGTTGTTTAGGAACAAACCTTTCAAATGATTAACTGCATACATTTTCTTGGGAAGTCTATGTCTACACTGTTCAGAATAGTGACAAACTGTGTCTCATCCTATTAAATACAGAAAGGTAATTCCTTAACCCCTGGTGAATAATTTCAACCCTTGGAATCCAGAAACAAAGACATAAACCAACACAATGTGGCAGGATTTCTGAAAGGTGCCCAGCAGACCCCCTTCCAGGATGCTTGAAAGGCCACTCATTGGGAGACACTTTTGTGAATCTAAACTCTGACTAAATAAATCCATCATGGATAAAATACACAGACTGATGGATGTTCCCCATTTCCCAGATAGCTTAATGCTGTCTACCAGCTCCGAACAATACCCTTTATCTAGCCCTATTAAAATGCTGCTCACTATGCTGACAAAAGCTTCCCAAACAATACAGCAGGCCCCTTACCCAAAAATGTTTAAAATATGTATAAATTTACTTTACAATTAACCATGCACTGCTAAGAGATACAGATAACTCAAAAACACCACAGGGTTTTGGTATTTCGTCAAAATGAAATATTAAAAAGGGATGATTTACCCATATTACCCAAAGTAGAAAAGGAAAACCTGTATCCCAACTGCAAAAATAACCTCTCAGTATTTTTAACATGCTAATCACTTTAACTAATTTCTCTGCTATTTTGATTTTAAAAAGATACATTTAAGCAAAACTGAATAAAATATCAAAAACTTGACAGGAATTTCCAAATGTGCAGAATATTTTTTTTCCCCCATGACCTGCCTTTGATAGAGTAACATGACTGATATTAGCTTGTTTATAAGTATGGCTACCTGCTTGGAGGAGGGTGTGTATTAGTATTATTATTTTTTTTCAATGGCATTTACAATTCAAGGTGCATATAGTGGACATATTGGGATTTTTATTTCTAAAACATGTATAGATACATTAATTTCCTTTTTTTTAGATTACATCACCATGACATGATTGCAAAGTACTCAGCATTCCTAATTCAATTCAATGCACAACACATCATCTGAAGGCACTTTACAGTTCACCAGATCATACAGTCAGATTGATTCATAGTTTTCTATCTAAGGAAAACCAGTTGATTGCATCGACTCGGATTCAATCCCTCACATTACGCATGCTTGTAGCGACAGTGGAGAGGAAAAACTCCCTTTTAACAGGAATAAACCTCCAGCAGAACCAGGCTCAGTGTGAGCGGCCATCTGCCGAGGCCGACTGGGGTTCAAGGTGACAGAAGCAGAGAAACAAAAAGCAGCTGTAAATTGGCACGGCTTCATATTAAGTTAGCGTGTGATTTTTGGTTCCAATTGAGCGGCTCAACAACAGACTGCTTCACTTCCTGAGCTTCCATGTTAGAAGTATCAGTGTTGGGTTACATTTTGTGGGGTTTTTCCCGGATCTAAAAAGTTTCGTCTGTTCAAAAATGGAGAGAAACAATGGTTCCTTAAAAGTATTTCCTCCATCACAAGCTCAAGGAAAACAACCGTCTAGTTAAAAGATAACTTCCACTTCCTGCTCATTTTATGTATGCAAGCACGTCATTACTAAAACATATCAATAAAATAAGTAAAAAACAAATTTTTGTTCCTTATAAAATCAAAAGGAGCTATTCTTAATACCAGGTTATTAGATGATTTAGAGTTTAACTTGGGTGTCTGCAGTCAGAAATATAGCACATAATTCACATAATTGAATGAAGACACATTTGATTTAATTTTTAAATCAACATTTTTTTATAGTAGTTGCCAACAATTAAAATGACAACACAATGTCTTAATATCCAGTAATAAAGTGAGCAGCTCCAAATGTTTGGTGAAACTGTCTTTATCATGGTTACGTTTATCTAACGTGATTTACTGTATTTTCCAGATCTGTTTTCTGTATATTTTTGCTCCACAGTAGTTTTTAGGGGACAGCTGAATACAGTACTGATACTGTCTGGTTTATTCCCTCTAATCCATTTCACCGGATATGTCAGGCAATATACTTATGAGAGAAAACTTTGAAAATATTAAAACAAGCCAGTTTATATGGCATTCTATGGAAAAGACTAGCCTAGTTTGAGAATTGATAAAATTATGCAAATCGTGAGCAATTTTTAATGCAGATGTTAATATTGAAGATAACATCTAATGTCACAGCTATTCAATTTATGGTCCATCTCAGCATGGAGCAGTTAGAGAAACACATATTACATGTTTTAGAGTAAAACATGTAATGATGTATGATTAAACTAGGAAAAAGCATTTTAGAGTGTATTAAACGATATCCATTAAACTAATTTGTTCATAACAAAAGTTAATTTAATTTCACAATAAAAGCTGCCAAATGGTATCATTAAGATAAAAATCAGCTACAGATGTAACTCCAGTAAATCTTTGTTCGCATTCATTATGAGTGAATTCTAACAAAACTGTAAAGTAAAATGTCGGGTGTATAATAGATGAATATGTGAAAAGATAAGATCTCTGGGAAGACTTTTATTTTGAGAAAAGCTTCTTAGTAGCAGCAGTGTTTTGGTTTATCTACAGCTTTAACATGTTTAGAGACAATGCTAAAGCCAAACTTGCAAGAGTAAGGGAGTTTTTTCACCCTCAAGCAGTCGTTGCCAAAGAAAGGCGCATCTTAGCTGTGATCATCAGGAAAAAGAAGGCTTACATTAGAGATGTATGGCTTGGGGTTTTTCTAGCCAAGATCGATTTTCAGTTTTTTTTAGGGTATAGGCTGTTTAAAGTCCATATATGAGCTGTCAATCGCAGCAAAATCGGCAAATTCTGATCACTGCATCATTAGTTTATACCAGCTTGTAAAAAGAAAAAAAAAAAAAAAAAAACTTGAAACTTAAATATTAAGATGATTTTCATTTTTTTTCCCCTTTTCATTAATATACTTAATGCATCTTTGGCATCTACATAGTTAGTTTCTTTAACACAATTGTTCCATGTCAGAGGGTAAGACTTGAAACAGTTTTGTTAAAGTTACTAAATATGCTTACTTATATGCAAAAGATGAATGTAGTATCATGTTCACTATGATCTAGAAAATAATTATGGGATAAAAGACATCAAAATTCTGATATTTGACTCATATTATCAGAAAGCAGATTTTGAATACATGGACCCAATTAAATACAGTCTGATTTAGTAGCATGCAGTTGAGTTCCATTGTGTTTGCACACACAATGAAAGAGTACTTGTGATAGAGCTAATATATACTGGGCCACCTTTAAGGGGCAATTAAAAAGTCTATTACTAGATTAGCAATATTTTATGCTGTAAAAACAAGTTAAGTCCTGTTTTTTGTATTTTTTTTTGTACCTAAATCAGCATAGAGGATAAAACAATAAGAATTTAGTTTTAGCAGTGAAACTTACAAGACCTTTAATCAGAAATATAACAAAACAATATCTTAATTTAATACATATGCATTTAATTATTTAAATTTTTAGTAGTGAAAGTCCTATTTATATATATTTTTAAAAACACAAAAAGTAACCCAGTTAAGCTACTGCCCACTATGACATCTAATAAGTGGGAGGAAAAGCTGGGAAATTAATATCTTTTAAAAACTTTTTTTTTTTAAATGATACAATGATTTATACAATAAGTTGTTGAATTATTGAAAATAAGAGCACTGTAGTTGGAATAATGGCTGGAATCTGAATACATGCTCCAGAAAAATGTTTCAGACAACTCCAGACATTTGTGCTGTTTAATGCGCCTCTGCTGCCATGTCCAAATAAGCTGGTTATCTGACATGTTCTGTTCAAAGGTCCTCTTTTATTTCTCCCTTTATCGTGTTGGAACACATAATCATTAGTGGCTTTTGGTACAGCTGTCATAAATTCACCTGCTTCAATGACAGCAGACAGCCACCTTCTTTTGTCAAAACACTTGAGTCTCAGGGTTAAGAGCGCTTGAGAGAGGCTGAACACCTTTAACTGAGTAGATTTAAGCAGCCTGTTCAGGATTTGGTGTCATTAACCCCGAAGCGCATCAGTGGCTCTTTACCTTCATTTGCTGGGACGCACCAGGCTCCCATCAGTGCCAGACTCCAAGTCAGCGTCCATCCCACCGGCCGAATGCCACAACTCCTCCAACGAGATTGCATGGCGCATCCAAAAGAAAAAAAATATATAAATGAAATGAAAAGCGGTGCAGGTTATCCCTGAAAAGCTGCAGCTTCAATCAAGATCAGAGAGGAAACGGTGAGAAAAGCATCGGTATTGTTCAACCTCCGCTTGAGGAGGTTCGGGATCATGTTCTGCTGAGACCAGAGGAAGGTAATGAGGAGCGCAGTGAGCTCCGGTTTGGGGAAGGCGGGCAGCGCGCCGGGGGGCGGAGTAAAAGCACGAGGTCTCTCCAATCACAGACCACCCACAGGTGAAACCTTGCTCTGTGCGTAATTCATGGGACTGCTGTCCAAATGACCGTCGATTTCCAGAAGCGTAGCCAGACATTTTTTTATAAGGGTGGCCAGGTAATAACCAATGCAGACTGAGGGGGGCCGAAAGCAGATCGGCACCAGAACCTTAGGGTCAATCTACTCTACACTGTTCCAACAGGAAAATTATGAGCAAACATCCATATTTTCTAAAAAAAAAAAAAAAAATACAAACTATACATTCCTACAGCCTTTACTAACAAATAGAAGCATATTAGATTAGATTAGATTCAACTTTATTGTCATTACACAGGTACAGGTACAACGAAATGCAGTTTAGGTCTAACCAGAAGTGCAATAGCAGCAAAAGCAGGATACATAATGGTTCCATAAATACAGGAAATGGGTTTCTACTGAATAAATATAGAGGTGAATACCATTACAAGCAGAATCTTACTAATAGATGAATATAATATATAGAAAACCAGTGTTATGAACTAAATTTACAGCTGGATATGTACCGAATATAATATACAGGTGGATATTACTATAAAAAGGGTTTTTACAGTTATGTACAATAGCATATATACAGATGGATTTTACTATAAAATGAATAAATAAAGTTTGGACAGAAGCTATCTAAATTAAAGTGCAGTGGAAGGTATTTGCATATTACAGTATACATATACAGTATATATATTTTAACATCTGTAATTTCTAGATGAAAGGTATAGTGGATAAAACTCAGCTTTGAGTTCTGGGGGATAAATCTTTTCCATTGTCATCACTTACCTACTTGTATCAATAAACATTAAGCATAAAATTGATATTTACAAGCGCTAATATCTACATACATTGATTATTTGATTAGTTTTTATTAAGATTGTTATTTATCTTTGATTTCACTGAAAAATCCTTGCTGAGACACATATTTTTCTCTTTACCCTATATAAAACAAAATTTAAAAAAGAGCATGAATTCTGTACTTATCATCTTTGATGTTAGTATATTGATGTGTATAATTAACCATAAAAAATGAAATGTATTGAATATTCCACTTGAGAATATTACTGCTGCCATCATCTGTATTGGGGGGGTGGCCTACCTTATATCCCAAGTACAATTTATTGTATATAGTGTTTTTAATCCCTAAGAGAAAATGCTCTGTGAACTAAATGAGTCTTATTATACATTTTTTAACGACAGGATATCACAAATGCTTCTAAACAGACAAAATGGAGAAAAGTACACAGTACAGAATGTGAATACAACATAATCATAAATGTATATCATACAGTAAAGCTAAAGCCTAACTGAAAGTTTATTGAAATCTAATTTCTTTTTAATGATGTTTCAAGGGGAGTGCCTCATCAAAAAGGACACCTACAGTACATTCCTAAGCTACCCTTCTCTGAGAGTGAGTGTTAAATCACTTGTAGTATTTTGATTTAAGACATGGGACTGTCCAGTCCAAACATCAAGGTCTCTGTTTTGTCTTTGTTTTTTGTTCTGAATTTAGCTATACTGTAAGTAGTGATTTTTCAACCATTGCTTAGTGTTTGTTAAGCAGCTGAAGGCCTTGAAGGAATGCTAGAGAACATCAGGGAACACACACATTGAAGAAGTCCAAGCTGTGGAGTACTTTAAAACAGGTAGAGGTTGATAAAGAATACCCAAAGTTTTGAGCATCTCGAAAGCAGTATTCTGTTAATCAACTGAAAGGAAAAGAATATTGCATGATTGCAAACTTATGAAATATGGACATCCATAACAGGTGAGAAGAACAGTGACACAGCAAAGGGGCATTGCAACTATGGAGGAGCTGCAGAGATATACTGCTCAGGCAGGAGAACAAGTCTATCATAACTGTAAGTGGCACAGTCTGAGTCTACATGCGCCCAGGATGAATAAGAGAGGTCCAGCTTTTAGTCTCCCTCTCAACATATAAGGGACATTTTAATCATATCCCAAGCTGCCATTCAACCCTTATAAGATTCCAAAAATAAGAAAACTGTTGCAGCAGTATCTTGCTTTGGTAATGTCCAGCAGGGACAAGATAGCTAGTCCAATGATGGGTATATAGAACTATAAAAGACTTAAATAAGAGGATGCTAATAAATCTTGACCGAAAGAAGTTAAATTAAAAAGGATTTTTACAATGGTTTAAGGTGGCAGTCAATTAGACAGAGCTTTTCCTATTATATTTTGGTCCTTGGGTCTAACGTTGCTCTGCTGTGGCATTAGCTTTCTAATACTGTACCTCATCCAAAATACCGTAGTTATCCTCAGCTATTTTCTGTATTTGTGCTGCTATATGTTTGGACTGCTGGATCACATAGGGACCACTTTCCCTCATTTTATCTCTATTTTCCCACTGCAGTATTTGTCAAGTTCCACTTACCGTATAACTTTGTTCTCTCTGTTTTTTCTCATCACAGTACCTTCATCTGGTCTGTACCTGTTCAGCTGTCACTCCATCCTGGATTGAAATATCAGCTGTAGTGCCGCCATCTCTTTTTATAGATATTGGAGCTTGGCCTGTTTGCTGTGTAGTCTTGTTTCTTTTACTGTGACTTACAGAATTAGCTTGGAGCTCATCTGCCTGTCTTTACTGGACAGGGAGTTGGTTGACAGTTAACTTCTGTATATCTGATTTATTTTATGTCTGCTTCTTTCTCCTTGAAACACAGCTGGATTTGGCAGATGGCCACTGATGCTAAGCCTGGTTCTGTTGGAGGTTTCTTCTTGTTAAAAGGGAGTTTTCCTCTCCACTGTCGCTAAATGCATGCCTGGTGTGAGGCACTGCCCAAGAGTCATCAACAAAATGCAAGGAAAGGTCTTTGCAGCAGGCTCATCCAGGAGGAGCATGTCTTGCAAGTCAATGACTGGATGCAATCAACTAGTTATCCTAACCCATCTGACAGTATAGTCTCTGTAAGTGCCTAGAGATTATATGTATTGAGAATTGTGCTAAATAAATAAACTGAAGTGAATTGAATTCTCTGTTAACCCTCACATTTAAGATTAAAATTTAGTTTTTAAATTTGTGGCGACCACATTGGTTTCTGCTTTCTTGTTAAATACATTCTTTTTTCTGTATATTAATTTTACATATATTGAATAGGATTAAACTTCAACAGCTTAAATATATAGTATATCCAACTGTTGTCATTTTTAATCATTTAGAGTCACTGTCTGCTGTTATTGTGTTTCATATTTCCAAGTATAATTGGAGTCTTTCATAATTATTTGGTTCTGTTCTTGGAGCTTATGCTACCAACACCTTCCACGCTCCTTGAATATTTATAGACATGCAGAATTTCATATTCACACATAGATGTATTGATTGATTTGTACAATGCTAATATATATTAAGAGGCCTGTTTCTCTGACATCCTGTTTTCAGTCAACTATTTTAGTCCAAAATGGATGTGCAAATCACCCCTTATTTCACCCAAAGTTCTTGCATCCTCACATGCAGAATGGTCTCATTTGTCAACATGTAATCAGAGTTATGTGCCAAGCATAACCATAGCTGTAGGTGTAATACATGGGAGGTGGTACATTGTAGATTTATAAGGGTCTGATCAGCATTAACAGCGGGTGTGGAGGTGGTTCCGATTTGCCAAGAAGGGTTGTTTCCATGAGGTGTTTGTTTAATTCTATAAAAGGTTTGCAGAATGAAGTGTAAGAAAAATACGCCTCCAAAGAACTGTTAAAATCAGATTTCAATGACACATTTTCTGGTATTGTTATGTTGGGAATTAGTTTTTATGTCCTTTATACTGTAGGTGTTGGTAATTGACAAAATGAAGTGAGATTTATTTAAAATACAATTAGATTGACAATAATGAGGTATGAATTTATTAGATCCTTATGAGTTCAAGAGAAGGCAGGAAATTAGCACTGCCAAAAAATGTCGGATATTAAAACACAATCTTGGTAAACTAATTAGCAGCACACAATATTATATAGACAAAGTCAATATCCTGACTGGGTCATGTAGAGTCATATGAACTGATTTGATCAAGTAAAATAATTTGACTTGTTTATTCTGAAGAAAAAAAATGTGGAGCCAATATTAATTCTAGAAATATTTTATTATTTTAAAATATGTCTGTGAATATGAACAAGTCTGCACCATCTTTTTTACCATCACACCCTTCATATATTTGCACATTAATGTAGGCCGTTATTAGAAGTTTTTCTTTTATGCAGTTGTTTTCAGCAAAGCACAAAAATATTTTTATTATCAGATTTTTTCAGATATACTATTGTATTAGAAATTGACATTGATATATTATGTACAGAATCAGAATTAGAATCAGGCATACTTTAATAATCTTAGAGGGAAATTACTTACTTTTATTATGTACATTGGTTTTACAGGTATTCCTTTTACTATATGACCTATGAATGATATCACTCTCTTTCCAATACTTCTTGCATTTCTCTTACAAGGAGATTTATTTGAGGTTTTGAGGTTTTATTTTCAGAATACCTGCAGTTATTCAATAATCAAGCCAGATGTGAGGAAAAACGTAGCTGTCCTGAGCTGTAGATATCTGTAGCCCCATCATAGTTACTTAGACTTCTTCAAATAATGTTCATCTTTGCTTAGAATTCTGGTTTTTCTATGAAAAGAATATTGCCATTTCTTTCTTTCTTAAAAAAAATAAATAAATAAAGTTATTCTCCAAAAACCAACATGTTGGTTGGATCTGATGTTGTGCTTCCTTGGGGGCTTTAGAGTCAGCAGTGATTTCTCTGTCTGCCCACTCATACCGGCAGGGGATGGAAATGGGAAAACAAGGTCGTTTGGGGTCAGTTCAGCGCACACCACACACATACATGTTTGCATTTCTCTCCCAC